GAAAAAACCCCCTTGTGTAAAATTATCATTTGATCCACGTGACAAAAAATCCGGTGATTTATGGTAGGGTAGTGTATATCCTATTCAGTCACCGGTCCCACTGTAGTAAAATTTATAATCGAATATTTATCCGCCGCATAGCGCTGTAATAATACCGTTCGGATTTTTTTAAGAGTCGTCAGAAATACCGATTACTTTCCAGGATATGATATGCGTGTTTGGTAAATTGGTGGAGTAGGCGTAAATACAATATTCATCAGGGTAGAGAAAGTTTAGACAATGGTGGTATCGGAGATGGGCGTTGCTACTTTGAGGATGAAAGTTGATACATGTGTTTACGTTGGATTATAACGGGCGTGTTGACAGTAAAATCAACCGTACGGATTTTTTAATGCCTCCGAAACCAAAAGTAGATAAGGCAATTTCTGAGATTTTTAGCCCTTGATCCATCGAAGATGGCTTCATCTGTTTATTATGACAATATCAACATAACATTATTACAAAACGCAACAGCTTCTCATTATATCTTACAACAAACTTATGAAATCAATCAGCACAGCTAATCGTTTTACGAGTATCATGATAGTTGTTTCAGTTTCCTTATGCATAGCTTGTCTAAACAGCAAACCTAATACTATGAATCAATCTTTAGGAATTCATTTGTTATCGCTCCGTCTCGCTACTCGTTTGACTGCGCGCGAACCTCTCTTAGTCTGAAATCTCATTTGATACTTGATACAGAATTAACGTTTTCAGCTTTCAGATCATATGCAACTGTTGTTCAGAGTGTTTATACCAGAAAAAATGAGACGTTTTTTCTTTGTTTTTCATGATAGTAATTCACAAGTCAGATATTCCAGTCTTTCTATCCATGCTTAATTTGGTGCGAGATCTCATATTATACATGTAATGTAAACCAACCACAAAAAGAAGGTAATCAAAAAAAAAAAAAGTGAATAAAATAACCTCTATACATGTGAGTATGTGAATTAATTACTTAAATTAAAAAAGTACAAAGATGCTAAAAGGTCGAGGAAACTATTCATTCCCTCTTGAGAATTAATGAATTTGTGATATAGTCCCACACATCTCTACTTGTAATCGCTCAACGATTGAAGTAACATTTGTTGCTTGCCAATGTGTCAATGTTCCACGAGGACCGCGTTCGCCCGTCTGGTTCAGAAATGCTGATGGCTTATGCACCTCTTTTGGAAGGATCATAGTGGCGACTATCCCGTATACGATTTCACTGAACCTCGTCTCGATCTTGTCCGTCCGGTTGGCGGGTCCTGCAGCGTCATATCCGTTCTTCTCCCCCGAGACGTATATACATGCGCAGGTTCAAGCGGTGTTACCCCTGATGCTGAATGTCTTGAGTATGTGTCTGAATCTGACGATGATCTCTGCATTTGCCCAAAGCTTCCACTTGACTTGTTTAATTGCCTTAGTCTATATAACCTATCTCTCTCCCATTCACTCCATTGTTTCATTACTATATGCTTACTGTCGAATTCTCCTTCTTTCCACCCGTATGCTCCACCTTCATCATCACCTTTAACTACTCTAGTTTGACCCCAAGAAAAGTCATCGAAATGCCAAAACGCATATACAGGGAGAACAAAGTTCCATATTGGTAGCGAACATAGATAGATAGCCATCCAACACACGTATATGATTTTGCGCGTTGTCATTAATATAAGCACAGCAGGGAGTCCCAACACTGCCGCAAGCAAGAGTAAGGGAATGAGAGGAATGGGAGTTTGGATGAACGATATTATAATCAAGAATACAGTAAAGCAAATAGCAGCTGGCAATACAGTGGTTCCGACCAATTCCATAAATATTACAAATTGCATAGAAAAGCAAAAAGTTCCGCAGAGATTTGGTATAAACACCAATTCGAATAAATTATGTACAGTTGAATTGATCCAGCGTCGACGTTGTGACTTGAGCACGGTGAACGAATCCGGTACAATGGTCTTGCATACTGCCTGGGGCACAAACATCATTTTACGCTTGGTGAATGTACGCAACATTAACGTAGAAAGAAAGCGATCTTCACCGAGGAGCAAGAGATTTTTCTTGTGAAGTGTGTCAACAACGTTCTCGCCGTATTGATCGACAATATCTGAATTGGCTAGGATGGGTACCCAGTAGCCGTTCCCTTTGGGTGCTTTGATACGATACATAGAAAAGCAGCCCGGGAGACATGTTACACCACCAAATATTGATTCGAATGCCTTTTGCATGTGATGTGAAATGTAGTATTCGAAAACTGAAATAAAAAAAAAAGAATAAGTAAAGGAATAATGTGAATGTAAGTGATTATTAGCGTTCAGCAATACCTTGTATCATTGTCACCCATGTATCACTCTTGTTAGCAATTTTCGTTTCTCCACACAATCCCACAATATTAGGATCCTTAGCCATACATGCCACCATTTTAGTTAACGAATCAGGAAACACTTTAGTATCAGCGTCGACCTGCAAATACAAACAGATGATTAAAATTAGAATATCATACAATGTGGAAAAATTCCTCATTCAAACATCCAATTCCCCCCTTACATTGAGCACAACTTCAAAAACATCGGGCGTAACTCCAGTAACAGCCCAAATCATATTAAACAGTTCGTATTCAAGAGTCGTCATTCGGTCATCAGATATAACGTTATTCAAGAACCTCATCAATATCACCTGAGAGTCTCTCTTTCCTCGATTTCCGGACTTTGGATCATCTTCCTCGCCTGGTCCGCCCGTCTTTGCAATAGTAATCATTGGAACTTGATTTCTCCCGTACGGATCAAACTCATCGTCATACTTGTAATATCCAGCATATACTTTTGCCATATTGTGGCGTTTCGAACCATCGGCAATAGCAACGTAAGAGTGCGCAATTACTTCATGAGGGGGGACAACAAAGTCTTTCATGAGTGACAAGAGGATATCTGGAGTTGACTTGTCATTGCCTTCTCCGGTGATTTGACCATCGGCAATACATAATATCAATTTATGACTATGAGGATAATCGGTCGCGGCAAGAGAGTCAAGAGTAGTACGCAGACCATTAATTCCTTCTGAATAACATGCTACCAACATGATGGTATGCATTAGTCGGAAATTGTACCTAACGTCAATTTCAGGAGAATTATTGAACGAATTGGTAGCTTTAGACAAATGCATTGCTGGGTTGGTGATCTCGGAATCGCTTTGACCAAGGTGTACTCCTTTGAGTGACTCGGGCCTAGAAGCTAATGAACTAGATGAACGTTTTCTAGCGGGGGAAAATCGATGAGCGTCACCAAATTCCGAGCTAACAGGCGAGTTTGTATTGCGGCGGGTACGATAACGGCCAACACCATCTATGCCGGCTGGAGGGGTTGATTGGTTTGGTGTGAATCGAGAAGTGCTGAGGAATCCAGTACGTTTGTTACTAATCCGGAAATATTGAAAACGATTAATATGGAATTTGGTGACAGTAATCACTAAAGATATTAACGAATAACTTGTCGCTACCTGTAGGTAACTGTCGAATTAGGGTCACTTGCCCATTTCTCTATCGCTTCTTGACGCTTTCTTCTTTCTACGAATGTAACTTCTTTAAAGTTACCTAATCTCCAACTCAGGACCCAACCAAATAACATGGCCAAAATGAATCGGACTAATACAACGCCAACGATAAAGACCAAACTGACGTATAACACAATGTCGGTAATAACACAGCCTAGTGAATTCACATCGACAATACCGACACGTATTGTATTAACCAAACAATTGGCAAGCTTAATGGTTGATTTTGTTTGTGACAAGGCATACGTTACGTCGCGGCCATGGAACGTCGCAGATTGACGTAACTGATCGAGAGCGTCTGACTGTGCATAGTTTCCCAACAGCCATTTGAGATGATCCAAATCCAACACATGGCTATTTTGTTACAAAAATCAGAGCCTTATGTAAGTTAATTTCAAAAAAGAAGATAAAATTTGTGAGAATGAAAGATATTTACCCATTATATACAATAAGATTTCTATTTACATCATGAACCTCGTCCCAGCTAAAGAATACAGTTCCGAGAAATGGAAGTTTAGCTAGTGCGACCCTTGCACTATCATCCGTATGGCAACCAACTTGAGTATGGTTCGCCAGATTGGAGGTACTATCAAGGTCTTGGATTGGCAAACACGGGAAATAATATGTACCAGGCTGCTTAAATGTGAAAACATCATCGCAATTCTTGTGATCCAACGTTTGGAACATGAAACTCAAGTCTTTTTGGCCAGCATCCGGAGGGTTGGAAAGTAGATAACTAGTCGGAACTATACCCGGAATAACAGGATGAACGAAGGAACCGACGTCAAGTACGCGACCAAGGACCGTAACAGCATAGGCGGGTATCGCATCCACGGCAACGTTTCCGGATTCCTGGCGGCATACTGTCTGAGTAAAGCCAAACGTCAAAAAGCCAACGACGATACAAAGAACTATTATTATAAAAACCAGAGCAATCTTTTCGCGCCAAGCTTGTTGGACTCGTTTGTCGCGCATTCCTGTGTAGCATGCCAAGAAAAGTTAGAATTCGCAAACTTTGAAAAATATCCCGCGAGACGCCAATGATTTCTCATGTAGACACTCAACTTACCGCAACATTGCAAACAAGCTGGAGGTGCCCAAAAAGTTACAACTATGGAAAATAATATCCATGCATCCGGACATTCACCATTTTTTATATCAATGTACTTGATTTTGCGTGAGAATTTCTCTGTAACTGGACGGTCAGTCGTCTGACGAGGCTGACGAGGCGGACGAGACAGACGAGACGGACGAGACGGACGAGACGGATGAGTGGGTTCTCTGTCAGACGATGAATGACCACGTGAAGCGTATCGGGCACGTTCTGGTCGGATGAGAGATTTCTGTCGACGATTTCGATTTAAAGACTCTGATACTTGGTCGACCGCGGCTGGTGCGGCATTGACGATAAATTCGTCATCTTCGTCAGTAGGCATCGAATTTGAAACTGATGTCTTTGGACGCGAGGGGACACGGACGGACCTATACGTCGCCGCTGGTTTCTTTCGATGGCCGTGTTCCTTTTTCTTATTAGAAGCGAGAAACGCTTGAGTCACATATTCTTCATCTCGATCGTGCTCGTTAGATCTTGGTGACGGGACATCGGATGAAAGCGGTGATTTGGTGCGATAGAACTGCTTGCTAGTCAAGGGGTTATCCGAGCTCTCTGATGATGACCGAGCTGATACACACAAAAAAAAAAAAGCGAGTCAGTAATGAATTTATCAAGTGACGCAGAGTATTAACTGTCGGATTAAAGACTAGTCAGGTCCAAAGTTCTGTACAAGACATACTTCCTTTCAATCAGAGCGCAGTTTTCTTTTATTCATCCAACATCCAACATCCAACATAACCCTTACCTTGTGAATTGATGTCGCTCGGATATTCAAGTAATCCTCTTTCACGAGGAGATGAGGAAAACTCTTGTCGTGTTGCATGTAAGCCTGTTACATCATCTAGGTTGGGTGATGGAGATGCAGACGCATGCCGCCGACGTGATTGATATGAGTCATATATGTTTGCGTTTAATTCTGTTACATCACCTAGGTTGGGAGATGCAGATGCATGCCGCCGACTTGACTGATATGAGTCATGTATGTTTGATTCAGATTCTTCTTTTATACTGTCACTGGAATTTTTAATGCCGCCGTATTTTTGGTAATAAGATGGTGTCCGTCGAACCGGTTCACTTGCAGGGGGATTATAATAATCGCCTGCCGAGTACCGTCGCTCTGATTCGATGTGGCCGGCTGAATCTCGTTTTTGTCTTTGATCAGTTTGCTCTTTTTTATCAGTGTGGCCACTAGTATCTAAATGCTCTTTTTTATCAGTGTGGCCACTAGTATCTAAATGCTCTTTTTGAACAGTGTCTAACGGTGCAAGAATTTGTTGAATTGCCGAATTGATATCCAAAAGTTCTGGATCCAGTTCTAATGGTAGTTCTGGGAGTGGCTTGTCGTGAGATTGCTCCGACATAATATATTATGGTTCGCGAATGACTTGTGAGCGCATCAATAGTTAAATAATGTAAATTGCTATGATTAATCCTTTTTAGGATTCTCTTCGCTTTTGTCCGTGTTCTTAAGGATCGTTATTAATTGCTTTGGTCAATTGATCAAATGGGGCATCGTCCCAAATTGTGCTTTTAATTATAATTAAGCAGAATGTGGGACCGCAATGAGTCCTGCGTGGCCTGTATGATAGACAATTGCTTACAACTAGAATAGAGAAATTGTGAATAAGTTTTCGAGTAAAAGTCGCATGAAAATACCAATGCATTTGATAGGGTTTCAATGCCCTTGGATATTTTCATGTCTGACATACTGATATTAGTTTTCAAGAACGTTTAGAGACATAGAATACGTACACCAAAGGCCAAGCAAAAATCACCGAGGGCGGAAACCAAAGCAAAGAAGCTTGAGAATGATTAGTGATACTTTGGCGGTTTATTAATGTAGTGCGGGGCATTTCATATGACATATTCAATTAAACAGATGAATGCTTATGTCACACAACGCAGATCCGAGACAATCAAAGGGTAACAAAATGATGCGTAGCCGAAAATGTGTAAGAAGCACAAGTCATAGAGATTGGGGGGCGAAAGATCGGGCATTGCCAGGTTGAATCGAATAAACAAACACCATGCCGAAGTCTTGCACTAAATTCTTAACGTCAATTGCAAACTAGACTTGTTTGAGTGATGGATTTATCAATTTCGTCACTCTGATACTTGTTTTTACAATAGATGATGCAGAAATATTCTTCTGTGTCGTACGAGATTTACTCGCCCCCAATAAAATATTATAGAATGATGTCATATCCGTAATAACAATGAATGCAATATTCTAAAAATGTACTAGTCACAAATGTACGACGAAACAAGCTCAATCCCTTTTTTTTGTTACCGGTTCGTAGTACGTTAGAATCTGTAATTGTGTAACAAGATATTTTTAAAGCAAGCGCACATTATTATTATTTATAGGCATTCTCTACCGATCATTGCTTGTTCCAATTATAGACTAGTGACTCATTTCAAGAAACATTATTACTCAATTTGGGCTCTATCCTCTATACCATATGAACAAATATTGAGGCAGTATGCAATGTTCGTGTAATTGTCTATTGTCAGTGTATATCCCTATTTCGGGAATATTCTATTATCGGAAAAAGTGTCATAGTAACTTAATCAGCTAAAAGTAAACCCGAGTCTAAAAATCGTATACTTTTGCTGCCAAGTAAAATTTACACCAATGCTTGCATACAGCTTCCTTGTATTAAGTGGAATATCGGATACACACACCAAACTTGTCCTCCAACAATAGATGGGTCTTTTCAACTTGCGCAGGAGCTTCTATCAAATCTGCACTGACACTTGATAATAGCATTCTGATACTTAATATGGCCAGGATAGTTGAGATAATTTAGGTCCTTAAACTTTACACTAATTTAGTTAACTAACATTTTAAAAGAGTAATGTTAACAAGCAGATATATGGCTGTGCAATCGTACATTGAGAAAAGCTGTGTTATGAAAACTACGATTGCCCAATTAGATTTTTACTTTGCCGTGTAAGGCTATAAGCTTTTTTCTCACCCTTCTTTTTGCAGAGTTAATAATAACCCTTAATCAATCAAGACAGTTATAATGCATAAATTTACGTCTTTGTTACAGTTAAGCCACGCAGTTTGTGTACACGCTTGTCTGATAAACAACAACTACGCCCCGACTATTATTAGTCTCGCAATTTGGATAACGAGTACACAAAGTTTTTTATCCCATGCGTATGTTAAACACTATTTACCCCAAATTTTGTGTAAATGCTGGTTTCAATGGCGTTACCGAATAAGCATTATAGCCTAAGATTATTATCGGGCAACAAGGATACTCACTCTGATAAAACAGTTGGTTGGCATGTTTTGAATCCATCGTGAAGTAATATGCTCTTGACTTTCCGCTCTATGCACTATAACACAATTATTATAAACGACAAATAGGAATCGACAAGTCAAATGACCCGGCTTTTATGTGCACGTAACACTTTACAAGACAAGTATCCTGTTGTTAGCGATCAACAGTTTGCACGTGATAATTGTACTATGAGCCAGATATAATAAACCCAAATAAGTAACAGCTGGCGTAATTTCTGCCCACTCTTGCACCACTGAATTCTTTTGGATGTTGGAGATTATCGCAGATCACAGAACGATATAACATGCAATATACAAATTCATGCCTAGTAAATGAAATGAAAATGAATAACACTAATTGCACTTAATATGCGTTTCAAACTTGTCTGGTCGACAGAGAATTGCAAGAACCATTGAGGATGGAGAATGTCTTTGCGGCAACAACAATGAATGCTAATTTATTTAATTAATGATTGATGTAAAGAATACACTTCTGACCAACGTTAAACTTGCGGCAATTGGTTCTAATAATAGGTCTTATAACTATGGTATCCTGCTCATTACGGTAATCGTTATGCTTGCTTATTATTATTAGAGCTACTATTAAGTTAGCATTAAAACTTTTTTCTTTTTTTAGAACCGATTTGTGCCACTAAGACTCGATGTCAGGGGCTTTTCCCCTGTGTTATCCCTTGTGTTATGATACGGGTACACAAATTAATATTAAATGGGCTATTCATCATAATACAAACGGAGTCTGCGAGATTGGGGTCACAGGTCACAACATAGATGTTCGCGTTCATTAGTCAGATCAATCACAACATTGAAGCAGAGTCTTAAAAAGATCATTCTTTACATGCTTGTTATTGTACGGGGTAAGCATGTTGCAGAAATCCAGGGATTCAAAGATCGTCAGCGTCCTCACAGGGTTTCTTACTCCATTGTTAATACCATCAATTGTTTAGCAAAGTCAATGAATGTAATACTTGAGTTGTCTTGAGCTCAAACTTTTGCTTTTCAAGTGGCATGTTTTTAATCAAAAGTGTCACCATTACATTATAATATATTAATTGTTCGATCATGATAATCTAAATTTGTTCAATTAGTAGTTTATTTACTGCTTTCTGTGATCCAGTTACTTGTTTGCTATTCAACCTAGTTAATGAATCGTTGTTATTTGCTAGTCGACTGTTAATGCAGACAAGAAGAATCCTAGAGATGTCTTCCGATGCAAATGTTTTTACGGCTTGTAATAATTATTTTAGTGATATTAATATACTGATTTCCGTTGGCTTACTCGGTAAGTTACTATCCCGTTTCAATGAGGTCTATAATAGCTTCTGAAACCGAGAATACCATCTAATACTTTGTAATCAAACCATTTAATTTGTACAAACCTTAAACTCACGGCTCTCACAGTCTCAACAGATGTTCCTCTACGCTAATTTCGACATCTTCTTACACCTCGGTAAGATTGTTTACCCAGTCTATTGTTTTCTTTCCACTTTAGTCGTTGTAATAATATTGCTCATCTCATGCCTAGCTATTATAAGACTTCTTTGTAGAGTAAGTTAATATATTAATCATCTTCTAATGCTCATGTGTCCCTTTCGTTTGGAACGTGTTGGCCAGGAGAGCGAACATACGGTAGTATAGCCTGCCTATATATTACTGCACCACATGTTGTATCTTAGTTGGGGACCTGTCTCAGTTCTGAACTGAGACAACCGAATTCTGGACTGAATGACTGGGTTCCGAATTGAGTGATTGGGTTCCAAACTGAGACAGGTCCCAAACTCAGACTACACCTCGGTAAGATTGTTTACCCAGTCAATCGTTTTCTACTCTAATCGTTGTAATATTTTAGGGTAAGTTAATATATTAATTATCTTCTAATGCCTCGTGCATTCCTTTTATTTGGCTATGAGAGCGAACATACGGTAGTATACCCTGACATTAAAGAATCTATAATATTACTGCATCACGCCTTATCATGTAAAAGCTAAGAGAATGGCCAGCGAGCAAATTTTTAATCTGGTCCAATTTTTATTGCCTCTATCGTGCATATAACAAAAGGTTTAACGTCGCTGCTCCTCGTATACGGTTATAGTCTGGTTATGTTTACGTGATAATTAAGTCTTCAGGAAGTTTCCATCTTGCTTCAAACCACAAAAAATTGAATTCTTCAAGTAATAATACTGTATCTCTCTGACCAAAGTAACCCGCGAGTAAAATACCTTCAGCAGTTTTTTATTGTAATATTAGTATATGAGGTACTTGAGTAAAGTCTACCATATATTATCATATCATATATAATATCCTCATCATAAACATCTTCATCAATACCACTAGTCACAATTCGGATATAATTCCTTCCATCAACGTAATTGTTTCTCGAAGTTGAAAATAACTTTTAACAGTTTATGCTCATAAAAGCATGTCAACCGATAAGTAAATTGTGAGATTTCAACATACGGTATTAGTATGGTTGTTATTGAAATAATTATTTCTTGACGCATAGTAAAGGAATAGACAATGAAAAAAGTAAAGCCAGTGTCGTAGAATAAAGATTGCTTTATTATGTATTATACGCATTGCTACGTTTTTTACAATCGCGTAAAGTGATTATTGAGTATTCTAGTCTAAAATGGCTGCGTTTTTTTCTACAGAGCAACCTTAGTAAGATTTTACCCTAGTATCAAAATCTCAAGCCGCATCACGCGTTCGCTTTGTTTGGTTTATTGCACATACATATGTTAATAAACATGATGCATCATGTCTATCTATGCTATTCCATCGTTTCATCGAATAACTTAGAAGTCTACCTTTGTTGTAATTCTGTAATAGGATTTATAATGGAGGGAACTCGTTTTCTTATGCCAACCATTTCCATTTGTGACGTTCTTCATTTTTTGTGACTCGTACACGTGACACGAATACACAGACTTGATTAATCGTATCAATAACACAAATTAAAATGAGCCAACCTGCAACTTGGTACTATGATTAGTTTCATTGTCACTTTAACGCTAACCTCTTTCTGTTCTAATTCCATTACATATAGTTTATCATTCGTGCTATTACATGGCTTGGTACCATATTTGGAATAGCGTGACACAATTATGTGGTAATTAACGTCGTACTCGATCAATATTGTCACCTTTGTAACTGATCCAACCAATAAGTTAATTATCTGTTAAGGCAAGGATCAATTCTTTAACAATAGAACAAAGCCGGTACAACAAGTTAAAAGCCAAGACGCTGCTTAAGTAATTCTTAGATAAGGATGCCCTTCATTTAGACAATACCTGGGGCTTTAAATTGTATGGCGTATTGTTCACCATCATATTCCTCTTTAGGTGAAAGAATGATGACTGAACCAATAGAAGGAAATTTTTATTCACAAACACTTGACTATTGTAAAATGTATCTTAATTGCTCTGATACATTCCCCTTTGCGGTGGTCGTGTATCACGTGTACGAAATTGGGAAGTTTATCATGTGATACTAATAACCGTATTTCTCTAATACCAACTAAGTACCCCGGGTACTAATTCGGGGGCATTTTGATGGAAGGGGTACTTTGATGTAGGGCATTTATACGTATGCCTGATTGGTAGTGTTAACAACTGAGTTGGAGGAGGAAAAAGAAAATGTGAATAACGTGCTTGATATAACTAGTAATATCGATGGAGACGTTAAAATTAGGGGGTACTTTGCATGTTTATAATACCCCGGATATTTTACTTATTTCTTCGAGAATAGTACACGGGTCTTTTGCAAAACTGCTGAGGATATTTTACTCGCGGCTTTAGCCAGAGAAATACGGTACTTTCGGTATGTAAGTTCTAGTATGAGGCAAAAGCTTTAACATAAAAGTCACTATACCATGCATATATAGCTCTATTATATCCCACCTCGGATATTTCTCCCTCACAAGAATGTGAACGAGTCACGACTGTATGTATATAGTTTTACGATTTTAACCCAATAAAACAATTAACGATCGTCAATGTATCATTATGGAAATGGGTTTTTCCTCTGAATGCCACCCCTCCCCTATTACTATGTACATTGTAAGCTCGAGAATTTGTTCAAACAATGGCTTTTACCTTCAAGTACAAACAATTGGTTTAGAAATGCTTGTGGCGCTTTACACTTTGATCCTCTCTTGTGGCGCCATTGTTACCACACAAAATTCTTGTAACCGAAAATCTTTGTTTATACCCACGAATTGCTCTAGACTCTATCAATTTTGTTCACTGAACAAACTCTCTCTTCGCAATCTTTGGCAGCTATATCTGTCAACAAGGACTATTTTTCATACAGAGTTATCCGGCTCATACTTGTAGTCATAATATTATAGATTTAGTTTATCCAAAAATGTCGTCAAAGCCTACAGTTCTTGTTCTCGGGGGCGTTGGCTTCGTTGGTAGACACTTTGTCACTTATTTGGTCGAGAATCAGTTGGCTTCGGAAATACGTGTTGTCGACAAGACAATGCCTGTTACTTCTTATCTCACCAGGAAGCAAACCGAAGCGTTCGAACAAGTAGAATACGTTCAGGGGAACTTGTCTGATCAAGGTAGGACTCCTTAAAGAAATCAAGTAAGATCAAACGTAATAGCGATAACAATCTAGATAAATAGAACGTCGAGTTATCTTTCTTGATTATCCATTAGTTTTGGTGGATTGAATGCTTTGCATATGTTGGTCCTATACGAAAAATGTTAGTTGTCCCAATTTCTCAACAAGTAATCTCATTTCTTGTACATTCCCTCTCTATCATTCAGCTCACATTGAATCAGCGTTTGAGCGAGCCGATAAAAGCACCTTTGATTACGTATTTAACTGTGCAGGAGAGACTCGATATTCGCTGAACGAACTGGTAAGTGGATCTCGGAATTATTCTCACTGTCGAATTCACTTGTAACAATAAAGTAACACCAAGGGAAACCCATTCTACTCTTTTTCGATAGTTTTATGAACAGCGTATTTTCAACTTGTCCACACGAAATGCTCAGGAAGCGGCAAAACGTGGAGTCAAATGTTTTGTTGAATTATCAACTGCCGAAGTCTACGAATCCGACAAGGTTGCTAAAGAGAATCTTTGTTGGATCATCTGAAGAGTCGATTCATAATATTTCTAACAAGATCGGTTTCCTAATCTACGTTATATCCAATAGAAACCTAGCGACGAAAAGGGGAAAATAAAGCCATGGACCACTATTGCAAAATACAAGGCCATGGCCGAGAAAGAGATTCAACAAATTTCCAAGTACGTAACTCATCTTGTCATGTCTCTTTTTTACGACTCGACCCCTTTTTTCTAATCAAATATTTCTGCCTCCAAGTCTAAACTATGTTATTCTGAGACCCGCAATCATATACGGCACAGGAGCTACTACTGGTCTAACACCTCGCCTAGTTTGTGGAAGGATTTACAAGCATTTGGGTGAGCCGATGAGGGACCTATGGACAAAGGATTTGAAAATTAATACGGTCCACGTGAATGACGTCGTACTTGCAATGTGGCAGGTTGCAACAACACAGCAGTCAAGCGGAGGATCACGTATTTACAACTTGGCTGATTCTGGCGATACAGGCAAGTAAACCCATACAATGACAGTTCGGGTTTTTAGTAGTAGTAATGAATACAAATTTTTTACCTGTATAAAAAATATCCCGTTTTTTCATCTCAAAGACCTAGGCATGTTGAGCCAACATATCGGCACAATCTTTGAAATCGAAACTGGCTTTCAAAACAGAGCCATCAATACCTTGGTCGAAACAGACCTTGATACCGCCGTCGAAGAGATTAACGAAAAACACATTGGTCCATGGGCAACTCTTCTTAAAAACGCTAATATCAGCATTAGTCCCGTAAGTCCCTATATCGACAAAGAGTTGCTGCTTCATAACGCTCTATCTATCGATGGGACTCTGATTACTCGAGAGATAGGTTTTGAATATAAAGTTCCTAAACTCACTGAAGAGAAATTAAGGGAAATAATCGATGGGTTCAAAGAATTGAATCGTTGGCCGAATTAGGACAACGGTTGTTGCAATTGTATTATTTCCTTATTTATAAATATGTTGCTAACGTATTACGGAATGCATATACACATATACGTATATATATATACTCTATATATTTTACTTGAGATTAGAGATTGTATCCCTTATTTAATCGTAAGCGAAAGTGTAGTGTTTTACTCTGACGCGATACAATTTCATCATGTCCTATCCCCCTTTTATATTAATACTTATTGTGATTACGGTGAGAAGCAATCTCCTATGACAAAAAGACTTTGTGTTAGATCTGAAGTCTTTGTGATATTTAATAAAAACTACCATTTTTTTTCGCGCGAATTTTTGTTGAAGTGATTGCACAACGACGACGGAGTTTTTCTTTTCACTTGGACGACTAGTTTATAAACTCAAAAGTTGAATGTTCATGTTTCATGACGGATTGGCACACGATACTCATCAGAGCCGGCGCACTCTCATCCATCGCGACCATTTCATTTTATTAACAAATTTCACGGAAATTATAATTTCTTTGCAATGTCCCATTAAAATCCAAAATCTAACTATTAATCAAACATCGTTTAGTTATCTTTTCGCGTCTTTTTGGAAGAACGCTTCTTAGTCGTCTTCTTTGGTTTGGTCTCTTCTTCTTCGTTCTCAGCAGAGCTCGATCCTTCCTTTACGGCACTTGGTCCAGAATCCTTGTCGTCTGGCGTAGGCTCGTCGGTCTTCTTGTGAGGATAGGCCTGGTTGATATATAACGAGTCAGCAATCTTACATGTAAAAAGCACGAACTGCTTCTCCAGCTGCTTCAACCCTCCCGCATCTTTTTAACTCGAAAGACAAAATCGCAATTATTACCTTCTTAGCTGGAGTAAGTAAGCTGAAAAGTAGTCCAAGGAGAACAAAGAAAACTATAAATCCTCCGGCAAGACCACCAGCGATTACAGGGAATTCCGTAATCCCCTTAACAGGATCGTCCCAAAAGACCGCGAGGAATTCGTTGACTTTGTGCTGCACGTATTGAACCGGGTCGTCCGAAAATGAGGGAGTGGTCTAGATGCAATGCAATGTATCGCAAGTTAGTTGGTTAAGAAACGTTTGGGCAAGTCGGCGTGAAAATGTAAAGATTTAAAGATACCCACGCTCGGAGTTAATTTTGCTTCTTCATTATCTTCTGTAGCCTTCTCGATCTTGTATTTTACGGCCCATGTCTCATCGGCGAATTTTTTAGCATCTTCTTCAGAATGACCAATGTAAATATTGTCAAACAAAATATCTTTCTGCATTGTCCAGAGTTCAAAACCAATTCCTCCCTGTATATGCATTGTGGAAAGGAATATTGATATATTAGACAAGCCACGTCATTGTCGAGTATCAAATATACAAGGAACCGTTTCAGTCACCACCACCACCACAACCACCACCACCACCACCACAACCACCACCACCACAACAACAACAATAATAACGTGCCATTTTTTCAAAATTAGCTGGAGTTTGATCTTCGACATAATCCGGGTTAGGAATTCTCCTTGGTGACCATGGCCCCTTATAATCCGGGTTGTCAATTTGCGGAGGATACCACTTGCCCTTATAATTGGGATTGCGCTTCATCGGACGCTGCCACGGACCACAGCCCGATACATTTTCACATTTCGGGTTATTAATTTGTGGCGGAAGCCAGGCTCCGTCCTCTTCGTCATCCCAGTATTCGGGTTTCTCAGCCTCCGGATCTGGAATAGTCTGTGGTTCATCGAGCCAATCATCGGGTTTTACGGCATCCTCGTCGACAATTTCAAATGGTGCTGATTCGTCCCTGATTTGTAGAAACATACAAGTTAATGGGGAAAAAAGAGATAGTACTATGGATGAAAGTAGATACGAGCAAAAATTTACCAATCGTCAGGTTTCGTCGCATCTACATAGAAGAGGAGAAAAATTTTAGCGAGCTGAAGATCAGTACTCAATCCAAATAAGGTTTGTTACTTACCGGGGTCTGGCATTTTGGGGTTGTCAACCCAGTCATCAGGTTTCTTATCTGTAAATCAAAACCAAAGTCAATACAAGTCAGTGTCAACTACAGTAAATCAGATTGGGAAAGCTAAAACATAAAAAAATTACGTATAGAAATTTAAAACTTGATTTCATACCATCTGGATCATCAATATCCTTTGGCGGATTAACCGGGGGAGAGAATGACTCTAACAAATTTCCGGCCTTTTCCACCTTGTTATTAATGCGAATCTCGAACGAATTGTCGGGCCTAATAAATTTCACCATGTAAATAAACGTGTGTCATTTGCGCAAACAATTGAATCAACAGCATAATTTGTTCATACTTCACAACTAAAGTGTATAGCGAGCTAGTCTTTTCCACATTGGCTGATGGAGAAGATGCCAAATGCTTCTCTTCATATTCTCCAGTTTTTGGATGCTTGTGTCGGAAGATAAAATGGACTTTATTGGTGCCACCACAACGGTCGGGGCCAAACATGATTGTGTAAGGTGTTGCAGCATTAAATTCCTCAGCATGTAATTTCGTATCAGTTTTTGTCAATAACTTGAGATATGCGCCAGCACATTCAAGTCCTTGTTGTGGCTTAACCTCGTATCTGATTTAGGGGGGGAAACAAAAAGGGAAAAAAAAAAAGGAAAAAATCAGTCAAGACAAAATACCAGGAAATATAGATCAATGCATATAACAATATTGATTGCAGAAACTCACTGTACAACAAGAGTCTTGCCCGTGTTATCCAGCGGTTCAGTAAATTGCGCGGATATGGCATGGAGTGCTGCAGCAGTCTTCGCAACCAATCCTGAATCATTCACTATTCCTGGATAGACTGTTGGTTCTTCGACGGACCATACGCCGACATATTTTAACTCTTCACCGCTCTCCTCTTTTGTCGCTTTGCTTGTTGACCAGCGCTCGACCCAGTCGGGAGTAAACTGTTCTACGAAATGACCTCGGACAGTAGATGGCTATATAAAGGAGTTGGGTAAGTCATTGCGATCTTGGAAAGATTGGTAGACTTGCTATTTCCTTGATGAAACGTGATATCGTCACCAATAACGGTTTTGAACCCGTCAACATTATATATACTACCTTGAAAACAACTCTGTCCTCGGCCTTATGAACCTCATCAGCCCTCCCAAGTGCAAGAGCAGAGGCTAAAAGTAAAGCCACAAAACTATAGGGTAATCTCATAGTTTTACGATAATCCAGTCAGATACAATCTTATTGAAACGAAGAAACAAGAAAGTATTCCTACGATCCGCCATGAAATACTGTTTTTCTGATTTCGTGTTTAGCTTTGATTGGTCCAATACGCTAAATATTAAATGCCACACAAAATAAATCAGAGGAATGTTCTAGATAAGACTTTGGGGTACAACCCACGTGGTAAATATAGTTGGGCCACGTTTTCTCGCGGACTTGCTGCTTTTGGAATTACTCTTGTGTAGCACAGAATAAATTGGTTTTCAGTTTCATAATAATACCGGGTGATATGAGAATGCTACCCGAAAGTTTGACAGTTTCAGCAACCCCCCAATAGAAGGCACCATTCTAACTGTTGCGGTAATTACCATCTAATAGACTAGGAAGAATTACCAACTGACGTTTCCTTTCGACGTCTTTCGAGCAAGATCGTTGACCATTCATGCGAGAAAAGCATTATGGCAAAAAGTGCAATGATTTCTGTTCAACCATCCCATATTTGTGGGTTCTAACTGTAGTCTCTGTACCAGGTACGGTTAAATTTGACTGTATTGGTTCTACCAGAAATAGCATTAGCTTATAGGTATTTTTATCTTAGAATGAACGAAGTTTATGTTTAGAGATTTATTAATATCGAGTTTCGTTCGCTGGCTATTATTTTGTCCACACAGTTGCCTAATTAGTATCACACTTCTGCATAAATCATTACTTGGTGACTGCATTAGCAGTCGATTACGATTCGTACACATATCATTTCATACATGAGACAAATCAGCTGTCATTATTGCAATATGTACATTAATAATGTGATTTACGGCTTTGCGTACTTTCAATTACTAATATAATTTTAATATATTATTCAAATTGTGTTTGCAGTGTTATTATTATTAACGAGACGAATACCGTATTTTACAAACTCGTTACCCTAATATAAGTTTCCCAACTTACGAGCCAAATTTTGTATAATTAAAACCTTGTCAGACGGTTACATAGCGGCAAGATAATGAAAAGAAGGGCAAGCAATGCAATCGAATAACACACTGCTAATATTATCTATCATATTACTAACTATTATCGCCTTCACTTTTTTCTTTTCCTTCCTTTCTGGATTGTTTTCGGAAATAAAGTTTCTTTCGTACGAGTAAAGTTATTTATGAATTCAAACACCATCTCTGTTAAATAAAAATGTCGAACCCAAAGACGGTCTTTGTGTCGTAGAAGTGTTTTTTATCGTTCCAGTGTTCTAAGAGCTGGCAAAAAAAAAGTCAAATATTAATAATAATTTGGTTACCTGTGGAACCAGCAACTGTCCCGCCTGAAGTCTCGAAAAAAAAAAGTCTATTATTTTACAACATTATTCGTTAATACAATCTCGAATTTAGCTTCATCTTTTAGTCCATCACTAAATTTAGTGGTTACCAAAACCCCCCCTCTAATTCTCGAAGATAGACGAAATCTAGACATTATCTAATACGAGTAAAATCCGTTAAGAAGGTCGTCTGTCGGACCAAAAACTCTATTATAACAAGCAATTTCTTTTACAAATCTGCCATTATAGTAGTATATAAATGTATTATTAACTTTCTTATTTACTTAATACGTCAGGCGTGGTAAAATACCCTTGCCTTTATATTTTCATTTTAATAATCTGAGTTTGATTTGGATAAACTATAAACTTGTAGTAACTGCTTCAAATCTACTATAATACTAAGTATTATTATTAGTTGTTGTTCTAATAATAGTGCTATTCTTGTGCGTCGTTGTTGCTATACGAAAGTGTCTATTGCTGACAGGCCAGCCTACATATTAATATCTAGCTGTAGTTAAGCGGACGCTGGATTATCAGACCAATAGTTCGATTATCGGTGCAATATATATATTTTAATTATTTTATTAGATAGTTCAGCATAATATTCGAGTGAGAGTTTATACCTCGACAATAGGGAGGTATAAAGAGCCGCCTGCAAATTTGGCTAGCTTAAATGAGAGCTAAATTTTGATCTCCCAGATGGGTCTGGTTCATGTCCCGACAATTTCAAAGTTATTTTATTTGTGCTAGGTAAAATAACTCTGGTGGGCAAATTTAGACGTTTTGACAAACATTAACGACTAGTGTCGGAATATTTTTCGGGGAAATGAACGGATCCCTGCCGCAATACATATAAATATTCCAGATTCTACATATTCCTTCCAAGAGTCAGCCCAACGAGTGTAGCATTATTAACATTTTGCTTGTCATCATGTCAAACCATTTATACTCTTTCTTAGTTCAGCAGTTAAGGTACTAACTCTTCAATAGGCGTGGTCATTGCAACAGAGCACCCTCAATTTACGAAACAAGTTTAAGCATTGCAAGTTGAGAGCATTTCTGTATAACAAAATGCATTGCAAATTCGCACAATCCCAGTTTGGATGGGATGCGGGTTTGCGAGAACGAATTGCACAATCTCGGACTGTAAGTTTATAAAATTCTAACTCCAGTTTGTCCTGTTTCCAATTGCTATATATAGTTTATACACAGTGTCCATTGGCTATTCTGAGGAATCTTCACTGTACGCATACCTCAAACCTAACTTTGGACCGCTTACTTTATCAGCCGCCTAAATGTAATATTTGCGTTTATTTAATTAATATAGCGTGTCAACGAGCAGAATAATAAATTGGTAAATTTTTGCCTTTGCGCATAATAATAATAGGTCTTGCCATAGAGTTTATTCTCGAAAACTAGCTAGCCGTATTGCAAACAGCTTACTACTATGCAGGAAAAACTCCACCTAACATGATCACTAAAATGAATACTAAATGTTGATGTCCCCCCAGTATGCGCACCTAACAAGTTCTTTTCATGCAGCATGATAATAGTAGCTTTGAAAGCGTGAATCCCATCTTACAGTAATTGTTTTGCGTCTAAAAATCTTATATCAACGCAAAAATATTATTTGGTTATATACACGCAAGATTGATGGATATGTTGAGTACATGCAATATGGTGACTTTTATGAACTCAAAGAGATTTGGAACGGTCTGTACTGCCAAGTATAAAAAATATTCAGAAGAAGAGGATATGACAGATACTGTTGTACTTAAACGCTTCAAGAATTTTGATGAAACGCCGGAATGATTTATTTCGAGGTAAACAATAATTGATATTATTGATTAAAGTGATATTTAAGCTGACTCTGTATTATTTTTATTTAATAGTTCAGAAATCATGCCAACAATGGTTATGAATTCCTTAAAATTTATGGTGTCACACAAACCCCAGAGTACATGCCGACAATGGTAGTCTTTTGTCTTATTTGGATCAAAATATTAACAAATTGACGTGTTGAAGGATATTGCATTTTATCTGCATATTATTCATAATTCGGGATTAGCGCATTGTGATCTTCATGGCGGGAAACATAGTTTTGCGTGGTAGGACACCATTAATGGCGATTCTGGTCTCTCACGATCTGTGAATTCACGCGAATCAAATTCAACCATTCGAGGCGTTTTACCCTTTATTGCACCAGAAGTCTTCCATACCCGCAAATTTACTCAGAAATCAGATGTGTATTCTTTTGGTATCATTATGCATTTGACCGCTACTTGGTGAACCACCTTTTAGAGACAGGCAGTTCGAGTATGCGACTTTATGGGCGGACTACGACCATCGATGCCTTGCCAAGCAGTGTTGTGATGCTGATCTTGATAGGCGTCCAGATACAGCGTGGTTTCTGCTCAATTCTATAGCTGGTATCGTGACGAGTTTACGTGGGGCGTTCACAAAGTTTTTGCAAAATAGCCTTATTTCAACAAACTACATGATAATAAAGTAC